GCCCCCGCCCAGGCTGCCCTGTGCCCGCTGCAGCCGGGCCTGAGCTCCGGCCTGGCCGTCTGCGCCAGGAGGCCTCCCATGCCTGGGGGGGCTGGAGAGGGGGCGGCCAGGGCCTGAGGGGAGGGCAGGGGCAGCCAGCCCCCTGTGGGGACGGGTGAGGCCCCAATACCCTCCCATCCCTGTCCTACTGCCCCAAATGCACCCCTCCGGGTTCGCTCAGGCTCCTCCCAGCACCCTCAGGTTCCCGGCACCTGTGCCCAGCCCGCAGCCACCACGCCCCGCCCCTCCTCCCCAGGTCAAGGCCAGGCGGGAACAGCAGCTGAACCACTGTGTGGGGTGGGTGGAGGCCCTGGGTCCCTCTTACACCTCTGGGTCCCAGTGGGGGGCTCAGTTCTGCAGGCCTGAGTTTGGCCAGCCTGAGTGGCGAGGCCCAGACCCTCACAACGGCTGGCGGTCAGGGCGGTGGGGGGCGGGGGCGGCGCAGGGCCATCGGCTCAGCTTTGGGGGGTGGGCAAGGCCTGGCACAGCGGGGCCCAGGCCGGTCAGGCAAACTAGTGCTCTCCGCAGGCTCCCTCCAGGTGTGGGGGCCACAGGTGGGTCTGTGGCAGGCGAGGCCCCCCCGCTGCTCTCCCCACAGCTCCCTGCCGGTCACTGCCCCCCCAGGCCGGCTCAGTCAGTTGGGTTTTCTTGACTCTCCCCATCTGCCCAGATAGGGTGCAGACAGGCACCCCCAGGCCGCCCAGCCTGGGGGGGGGCACTGAGAGGGCTTTGCCCGCCCCTGTGCTGCGGGGTGTGCCCGCAGGCCCCAGCCCTCCCTGCCTCCCTCCCCACCTCCGTCCCTGGCTTGGCTATTTACAGCCAGGCCTGCTACTGCCCCGACGAGCCCGGTGCCAGCGGTGCCCCCGCCCTCCCCAGACGGTCACCTGCCTTGGCACGGGCGTGGCTCCAGGTGTGTCTGTGGGCTGGGGCCAAGGAGGTCAGCGCAGGCCTGATTCGGGCAGGGAGGGGCGGTGGCCTTCCCTCTGTGAAGCCCCGCTTGCTTTGGGGGTGTCCCCTCTCCCACTTCACGCTCCCCGAGCCACCGTGGGCCTTGTCTGGACCCTCCCGAAGTCCCCCAGAGGGACATCTGTCAGTGCCCAGGGCCTGGCCTGGCCTTCTCAGCCTCAGACTGCTCCGAGCCTAGAAGCTGGGGCCCTTCCGGGGGCCCGCGGGGGCAGTGGGGCAGGGTGGAGCAGGGAGACCAGGCCAGTGGTCTGCCCCAGCTCTGCCCCGGGGCACCAGCATGGGCCTTGGAGGGGCTGGGCTGGGGCCCGGGGGATGCCCCTGCTCTGAGACTGTCCCCAGGTCCACCCGGAACCCCCGCTGGGAGTCAGGGCGGGGGCAGCCGCGGGCCTGTGGGAGGGCAGAGCCGGCTCGGCCTACAAGGCAGGCTGGCCGGTGGCCCTCCCGCCAGCCCTGCCCCTGCCCCCGCCCCCCAAGCCCAGCATCACCCCCAGGGCGTGGCTGGCAGCGCTGGGGCCCTGGCGCCCAGCTAAGAGCTGGGCTCTGCAGCTTCCTCTCCGAAGGCGTCCACTCAGGTTGCCTCCAGCGGGGCGCAGAGCGGCCGAGCCAGCTGGCTACCGTTTCTCCTGCGCCCTAGTTCTGCTGCATGCTTTCATTTTCCCAGTGAAGAGGCGCCCTCAGATTCCTGGGCGCCGGCTCTGGTCCCCAGTCCGGGGAGCCCCCAGCCGCCTCCTGTCATCTCGCTGGCCCTGAGGCCCGGTGCCCTGGCACCCACGGATGAGCACTTCGGGGTCCTTAGAGCCCCTCCCCTGTGCCCCCCCCCCCCCGCTGGGCTGCTGGTGAGCACCTTGCACTCACAGTAAGAACCACAGGGCTGACTGGCCAGCGCTGGGCCCCGGGGCTCCTGCGGGCAGTGTGGGCCCAGCAGAGTGCCCTGGCATCACCATGGTAGGCGAGGCCTGCGGACAGCCCTTCCCTATCCCCACCAAGGGCCACCTGGGGGGTGGCCTGGGGGTGTGGGGAGCAGCTTCCCAGCCCTCAACCTGGCTCGCTCGAGGGCCAGCCTGGAGCCGTGGAGGTGGAGGCGGGGGCCTGGAGTCTCGGGCCGCCCAGGGCCCCGCAGCACGACACGGGTCCCCCTGCGGCCCAGGCGCGGGCCGGACACTGGGCGCGGCGCAGAGGCCGCCAGCCTCCTCCCAGGCCGGTTTCGCTGACTCCAAGGGGCAGCCAGGGCTATAAATAGATGTTCTTGTGCTAAAAACTGCCTGGCTGGGAGCTAGCCCACCCCTGAAGGAAGGACACAGCAGCCGCCTCCTGCCAGGTACAGGCAGGCTCAGCAGGCAGCTGGCCGCGGGGGGCCTAACGCTGGCGGGG